CCAGCAATCAACTAGGGAAAAATTCGTATCCGGGGTAGTAATTTTTCTGTCACATCGTTTGTGAAAACTGACAGTTGAAAAATAAATGCTATGAAAATAAGGAAGGAGGAAAAATCGCGCGTTTATTCATCACTATTCGGTTAATAACAAACGTGACTATCCCTTCCATTTCAAAGGGTGTGAAGATAAATTCGAATTTAACTAATAAAGAAAGACACCTACCATTTCTGTTTCTACCTGTGTAGAGCAGCCGGGCTGCAGATCCAGATCAGACAAAATGGAATTATTAATTCCTCCTGAGGTTGGCAAATCAACAAACGTTACTATCTTCCTTCGTTTAGCTTGAGACGTAGAAGGCTGCTGTGGGGATAGAGAGATTTGCTGTGGAAATATAAATAATGAAGTTTTACAAGGCTAGATTGACTTTACGTCTTCTCTTCCAACTAATTCTATTTTAGCCTTCGATTGTCTGCCTACGCTGAATGTATCACCTAATTTTAGTGGGTGTCTCTCTAATGATCTGATCTTCTCACCCTCGATGAACACTCCGGATATGGATTCCAGGTCAACGATAAATATTTTGTTTTTGGCTTGTACGTCCAATAAACAATGTCTTTCATTGATAACCTGCAAGTTTATAATGTAGTATTGTTTATTGGACGTACAAGCCAAAAACAAAATATTTATCGTTGACCTGGAATCCATATCCGGAGTGTTCATCGAGGGTGAGAAGATCAGATCATTAGAGAAACGCCCACTGAAATTAGGCGTTACATTCAGTGTAGGCCGACAATCCAAGGCTAGAATAGAGTTAGTTGGAAGAGAAGAGGTAAAGTCAATCTAGCCTTGTAAAACTTCATTATTTATATTTCCACAGCAAATCTCTCCATCCCCACAGCAGCCTTCTACCTCTCAAGACAAACAGAAAAAGACTGTAACTTTTGTTGGTTTGCCAACCTGCATTTTTGGTTTGTCTAAACTGGATGTGCAGCCATGAATCCATATAAAACTACCTTTCAAACAAACTAAACAAATTCAAATTCTGCTTATGGAAACTATTTTTAACGGTATTTGAAATTTGGTATGTTACCATAACATAGCTATGGGAGAACACCCAACTTTGACACTCTGGTGCGGCCAAACTAGAAAATGTCGCCTATATTCTCCTATATCACGTGAATCTAAACGAAATAAACGAAAATTTAATATAGCGCTAGGGTAATATAATAAATATAAGATAATATAGTTTAGTATAGCATAGTACTAGTGTAGGGTATCATAGCGCTAGGATAATATAGTATACTATAGTCCGAGCTGGGATAAGGGATCTGTCCGTCGTTGACAATAGACAATACGTTGAAACGTTATTTACGTTAAATTCACAACCTCTTCCAGATCTTATAAGTGAAAGCCCAATGTTTTCAATTTCTCAAAGGCAAGGAGAACCGAAAAAATTTCTTTCGACTGCGAAAATTCGCTGGTAAGAGCGTCATGAAATTCTCTCGAATGGGACTCTGCAAATAAGCATTTACTCTCT